CTCCTAAATAAAGGAGGATATTTTTTTATTACAAATTAGAGACGTAAGTTATGCATAGTTTTTTCATTTCAATTTTCTTATAACTAAATCATAATAAGGAGTTAGAAAAATTAAAGTTTTAAATATTAGGAGAATAATTAAATGACTATTCTTAAATATAAGGAAAATAATTAAATGTTATTCCTATATATTAGGAAGATAATCAAATGACTATTTTGTTCAGTGTAAACTCTATTTTAAAGGGGTAAAAAAGGCGAACGATATTTCGCTAAGGGGCATCGTGCTTTTAATATAGTATAGATTACTTGATCAAAATGAGATCTATTGCCCTATTCTTAAGAAAATGGGCTTTGGTGATAGATGGCTGAGATGGATAAAATTTTGTATTTCCGCTGTCAAATTCTCAGTTCTTGTCAACAGAGGACCAATCGGTTTTTTCTCTCCACAAAAGGGGGTAAGATAGGGTGATCCTCTCTCACCTTTTCTCTTTATTCTGGTGATGAAGGGTCTTAGTAAGATGTTAGACAAAGCCAAACAGCTCCAGTGGTTCAGTGGTTTCCATGTTGGTCTTAATTCTGGTCTTTCTCTCTCAGTTTCCCATATGCTATATGCTGATGGTACCTTGATTTTCTGTGGGGCAGAGAGATCCCAAGTCCTATATCTCAATCTCACTCTCCAGTTATTTGAAGCTCTCTCAGGCCTTCACATCAATATGTCAAAGAGCAATGTATGTCCTGTTAATAATGTTCCTATTCTAGAGGAGTTGGCTGAGATTCTGTGTTGTGGTACAACTTCTTTATCTACCACCTACCTTGGCCTTCCACTTGGTGCTAAATACAAGTCTTCAGAGGTTTGGAATGGAGTGGTAGAGAAATTTGAAAATAAACTTGCTTCTTGGAAAAGGCAATATCTCTCTGGGGGGGGGGGGGGGGGGGGTCACTGGACACGTCATTAATAGTGTGTTGGATAGCATCCCTAGTTATCTAATGTCCCTCGTCCCAATTCCAAGCAAGGTGGCCAAGCAATTAGATAGAATCAGGAGAGCCTTTTTTGTGGGAAGGAGGCAGCAACGAGCACAAATTTCATCATGTTAAATGGTCAAAGATTACCATGCCTAAGCAATTTGGGATTGGGAATCAGGGACCTAACCATATATAACAAGTGTATGCTCATGGAGTGGTTGTGGAGATATAGCCAACCGGGAAGCGTTTTATGGAAGGAGGTTGTAATTGCAAAACATGTCTCTCAAAATCATTGGTGCACTTTGCTCTCAAGTAGCCCACATGGAGTTGGCCCATGGAAACATATCAAAACTCGGGGGTGAATTCTCCAGTAGCACCTCTTTCAAAGTGGGAAACGGCGCCAACATCAGATTTTGGAAGGATATGTGGATTGAGGGGACCATATTGCTAGTGACCAGAACTCGATCATTTCTCATAATTGGCAAGATAATTGTTGGCACATTCAGTTCAGGAGAAATTTCCAAGATTGGGAGCTACCAAACTACTTCAACATTTTGGAAAAAATGGGGGGCTATTCACTTGTGCAAGAATCTGCTGATAGCTTGAAGTGGAAGGATGGTCTGTATTCAGTAAAAGCAGGATACTCTCAATGTGCTCTTTTAATGAGATTATTGACAGATGGCCGTGGAAATATATTTGGAAAACAGAACTCCCTACAAAGGTCAAATGTTTTAGCTGGATAGCCTTACACGAGGCTGCATTAACTCAAGATAATTTAAGCAGAAGAAGCATTCCGACTGTCAACAGATGCTTCATGTGTCTCTTCTACTTCATTGCTCAGTTGTAGTTGTTGCAGATATCTGGCACATGTTCCTTGCTATTTTTGGCATCATTTGGGTTATGCCACAGAGCATCAAAGAAGCCTATGAATTTTGGTCTCTTTGGAAAGTTGATAAGTCCATCGGTTGATAAGTCCATCAGGAGAATCTGGCAAATGGTTCCTGCCTGCATCTTTTGGTGTGTCTGGTCAGAAAGGAATCGCAGGTGTTTTGACGGGATATCAACTCCTCCTATGGTGCTTAAGGCTATGTCTTCTATGGTTGTATAGTTGGCATAATGTAGTTCCTAATGTCTTTCATATGAAGTTTTTTGATTTGGTCAGCTCTTTAGCTCTTGCTTAGCTCCTTTTTTGTTCATAGCTGACTCTTTTGTACACCTTGCATCTTCTGGATGCCATATATAAAATCACGCTTACGTTATCAAAAAAGAAATGAGATGTAAAAATGTGACATAAGATTTTTTAAAATGAATTACATATTTTCTTAAGAAATATGTATGATACTATGGTCCTGGTCCATCATTGCGACCTGGCCCATTTTATATGTTTAAACCTAGGCATATGCTAACACTCTCCTGAATTGTAGATTATAGATTATATTTCCCAATCTTGCTTCAAGTGCTTTAGTGATGTATCTGCTAGATTGAATTGAACAAACAAAACTAGTGGAGATACAGCTAGAATATATATTATAAATAAAGTGATAATAAATCTCTATGTGCTTGATACTCTTATGGCATTCAGTTAGTAGCAATATGCAAGCTTTAGTAACATAACTGCTAGCTAATGAATTGAACCAACAAAAGGATGTACTTATTTCTAACCATTTGCTGCATTTGTTGTACGGAGCTTGGTTTCCTCTTCTCTTCGTTTTTCCTTCAGCCACTTCTTTGATTTGTAGTGTTGCTCATGATATTGAAATCAATTTTATCTTGTTCCAGTCTGCTTGCTGGGCCATGGCCAAATCATGGCTTGATTTCCAGGTTGATGTGGAATTAACCCGTCTGCAACCAGGTGAAGGGGATCACTTCAAGAATTTTATAGAAGCGATTAATAGAAGCCCAGAATTTGTAGATGGTGTTTCTCAGCCAACTGCTGGACCGGATAGTTGGCCACTTCAAGTTGTGAATCAGCAACCTAGGCACCTCTCTGCCCTTCTCCAGAAACTCCATTCAAGGTATTCATGCAGTCCGGTTTCGCGCCAGGTTTTTTTTTGAGGTGTTGTTCCTTGTTGAGTTACTTTTCCGTTCATTTGTTGTTATTGGGAATCTATATACGTTGTGTTGAGTTGTGGGCTATTTGTGGTGAAAATATTGATATCCTTGAATCCTTGGAAAGGTTGTGGCCTACGGGCACTTATGATACGAGTGATATGTTGTGTTGTTGTGATGATTGCACGTGCGAATTGTTGTGTGGTTCGATTGTTGTTATGCGGAGTATAAAAGTGGCATTTCACCGTTGTTGTTATGCGAAGTATGAGGATGGAATTTCACCGTTGTTGTTATACGGGGCATAAGGGTGGCATCTCACTGTCGTTGAATGTACGGAGTGATACGGGTGGCTATTGTGTTATTGTCCGGGCAAAGTGATAAGAGTGGCTATTGAACGGAGTGATAAGGGTGACTATTATACGGAATGATACGGGTAGCTATAAGAGAGATAATTGTGGCTAATGATATTGTCAGGGCGGAGTGATACGGGTGGCTATCGAAGAGATAAGGGTGGCATATCAAAGATGATGTGTGATGGTTTGGAGACATTGTGTTGGTGATTTTTATGTGATGGTGTGCTTTTCCTTGTGTTTGTCATATACCTCGTGTGACTTGTTTTGTTGTTTCGATGAGCTATTCGATGTGTTTGATATTACGTGTTGACTTGGGCTGCAGTAGTATACTCGCGCAAGCATACGTCGTAGCATGCCACTTATACTAGTCTAAGAGTATGAAACTTGACATTTATTAATCATGCCCATGTGTTCTTGTATTATCCGTTTTCATGTTGCTATTGAGCCCGTGATTATGCCGGACGGATTGTGATTGTGAGCCGGTGATCATGCCGGACGGATTGTGATTGTGAGCCTGTGACTATGCCAGAAGGATTGTGATTGGGAGTCTGTGACTATGTCGGGCGGATTGTGACTGTGAGACTGTGACTGTGCTGGGCGAATTGTGATTTTGGCACGTGAGTTATCCATGTGGTTGTGATTCAAGATGTGGGCACAAGGTGCCGTGAGTATATGATGGTGGGTTGAGACCCGGGACTTGTGGCTATGATATGAGGTATCGCGGAGTGATTTCGTTGTGAAATTTGTATTAGAACGGCGTGATTAATTGGTTTTCCTTTGTGTTCCTTATTTGGTTTTAATGATACTTCACGGTGTTCTTATTGCTTTGTTGTCTATATCACATGTTGATGTTGTTGCCATCTACTTCCTTATCTAAAATAAAGTAAAATTCTCTGTAATCTAGTGATACGGTGAATGAAATTGTTGCTCGATCGTGCAAGGAGCAGCAGAGACAAATTGAGGTATAGGCTCATGTTCTTGTATCGCTTCTCAACCTTTTTACTTTTTCTTTAGAAGAGTAATCTGTGTTAGTCTCTAATTATTTTAGTCCATTTGATCTGTTGAAAATTTAGTACAACTACCCCCCCCCCCCCCCCCCTACACACAAAAAAAATGATGAGAGACATCTTACCAGATATTTTAAACACATTTGCATCACACAACTTAATTTCAGAAGCCTAATTTATGTTAAGTGCAAGTCTTTGCTATGCACCCTCAATGAGACACCGCGTAGCACAATAACATGCTTTGCCTGCAGATGCCACAAAACGTTTTTATTAAATACTCTGTGGTGTTCCATAAGCTGTTTAAGTCTGCTGAATTGAATGTCAAAGAAGCACTGTTTGGGAAAGTTGGCCTGTCTTGTCTTTATGATTTAATTAATTTTGAATGATGCTTTAGAAGGAGAAATAGGCTACCGTTGGGTGCTACCTTCCACATCCATGGATATCATATTTTGGTTTTAGTCCTCTCACGACTTTACCCACGCATATGTATCAAATGTATGTTTGTATAATGCAGCAGCTCAGCCCACAGCTTTGTCCACCATAAAATCTGGCATTTCAGATCTCTCCCTCACTTCGTCTTGTGTCACTCTCAGATAAGCATGGTTCCTTCCATTTTCTTTGCCGTAACATTTTTGCATATAGAATGGGAGCCTTGGTACCATGGTAAAGTTGTCTCTATGTTACCTAGTCACGGGTTCGAGCGGTGGAATCATCTATTTATACTTGCATTGAGGTAGGTTGCCTATATCATATCCCTCGGGTGCGTTCCTTTCTCGGACCCTGCGTGAATGCGGGATACTTCGTGCACCGGGTTGCCCTTTTTATTTTAGTTCTGTATATAGTTACTTGGGTAGGTGATAACTTTGAGTAGAGTGTCTTTCATCCTGTCCGTCTCCTTGGTCCCATTCTAAGTTACTACATCTTTCCTGCGAGGAAGGGAGCGTGCATTAGCTGAGTACCAGTTTCATCTTAAAAGTATTATAGTTTCTATGGTCTATTCTGCAGCTTAAACAAAGCTTTTGAACAGATGAACCTTATGTTAGGAGACATACCAAGTTTGCTGGACGTCATAT